TATATATATATATATGAGCTGCTTCTTAGAAAAAACGAATTTCGTCAAAATGAAGGAAATATTTCGTCATTCTATTTTTTCCAATAAAAAATACTGTAGTGTTTGATGTATCTAATTTTTTTTATTTTGAAAGCTGACCAAGTTAGTCGACAAAGTCCAGTCTCGTATATTTAAAGTATAGTATTTTAAATGAGGAAGTAAGAAATAACAGAACAAAACAAAAATTTCATATATAATTTTTTTATACTCACTGGTAAACATGATGATGATGAGTTTAATTGATTGATGTATAAAGATAACAAAACAAATGTTCCAACAAGTGCTGCAAACACAACGAATGTCTTGGCTCCTAATCTCAGTAACTCTAATTTCACTGAATAACCCTTTGAGTAAGCCTATAGAATGAAACTTATTTTTAGACAATGAATGCAAGTTTAAATAGTTTTATCTATAATTATTTGACAAATAATACAATGCAACTTTTTTCTTAGAAATGGAATGCAATTTTAAATTGTTTTATGCATAATTCTTTGACAAATAATATAATGAAACTAATTTTTAGAAATTGAATGCAAGTTTAAATAGTTTTATGTATAATTCTTTTAACAAATAATATAATGAAACTTGTTTTTTGATTTAAATTCCATTTTGATATTTTTCTGTATAATTCTTTGAAAAATGAACTTATTTTTAGAAATTTAATATAAGTTTAGATAGCTTCATGTATAATTCTTTGACAAAAAATATAATGAAATTTATTGTCAGAAATTTAATATAAATTTTAATAGTTTCATGTATAATTCTTTGACAAATAATATAATGAATCTTATTTTTAGAAATTGAATACAAGTTCAAATATTTTTATGTATAATACAATATGAAACTTATTTTTAAATTCCAATCTTTGACCAGTAATATAATGAAACTTGTTTCTAAATTTTAATTTTAAATTTTGATATTATTATGTACAATTCTTTGACAAATCATGTAATGAAACTTATTTTTTGTTTTAAATTCAGTTTTGATATTTTTGTGCATAATTTTTTGAAAAATCCCGTAATGAAGCTTATTTTTTAAGTTAAATTCAATTTTTTTTTATGCATAATTTTTTAGCAAATCTTGTATTGAAAATATTGTTCATAATGACAAATTCAAATTTTTATATGCTTATGTATAATTCTTTGACAAATCCTGTAAGGAAACTTATTTTCAGATTTAAATTCAAATTTTGATTTCTTTCTGCATAATTCGTCGATAAATCCTGTAATGAAAACTATTTATGAAGTCAAATTCAAATTCTTATATCTTTATGCTAATTTTTGATGAACAATATACTGAAACTTATTTTAAAGTTAAATTTAAATTTTGGTATTTTAATATATCCTATAACAAAACTTATAATTTGAAATTATGTTCCAATTTAACTTTTCTTATTGTTTTATTCTATTCTATAAAGGGAAAAACATTTTAAAAATAAACTCATATTTAAATACTTTATACATTTTTTAAATAGACTTATATTGAAATTTAAATTTTAAACTTTTCATTAAGTTCAAAACTAAATGTTTTATGTATATTTCTTCGAATAAGACTGTAAACTAATTTAACAAAAAATTTATAATTCTAAAAAAGTCTATTCAAAACTGGTTGCTTCAACCTATAGTTCTTTGTGTTAGTCTATTATATTAAATATTTTTTCATAAAATTAATTTCAAAACAGCATATTTTAATGTGCAATGTACAAAATAAAAACGGACCACCCTGAATAACGTTTTATCTAATGATCGGATCTTCACGTTCTAGAACACAATTTTAAGGGTTTGAGAGGATGACCTCTAATATGCTAATTAATTAGTGCAGGCGACATTGTAAGTTACAAAATCAGGCACAAAAACGTAGTTTCTCACAGTAAACATATTTTTTTTCTCGTCAGATATGGATTTCTGACCCTAAAAATAGTAGTCGCAATCTGGGAAATATTGTCCCAATAGTTTGGACAAGAGAGTAGTCTAAGGTTTGGACAGCTTCATGTTAATTTCACTTTTTGTGTATTTCACAATATCTCGAGAGCTCTTTAAATGAATTGAAAAACTTTTGCGCATAATTCTAAAATTAATTTAACCAAAGATAATTCCAAGCAAAAAAATAAATTTAAGTGAATATTTTTTTATTATTTTATTTAATACAAGTCGAAAAATTTTGAGGAGTAAGGCATACGATTTTTTTTGCATCAGTTTAAAGAATATAATTTTAAGTGGCACAATACAAATTGTGAACGAAATTGGCTGAATAATTCCTGAGAAACTGAATTTTGAATGCATGACTTTTTTAAATTGTGTTTGCGCCCGTAGAGTTTTTACTAGCTATGGACCTGAATACTACAGGACAATATAACCGGTCAATAAGGAAGGAAATTATGTAAACAAAAATTGTCTAAAACAGAATGTAAATTAGCCGAATTTTGTTTTTATCCTTTGCAGTTTTTCCTTTGTTTCTTTAATATGAAAAAAAAAATTTTTTTTTTGCAGAACCAAGAGTGAAATTTGCATTTTCGGTCAATTTGGATAAAATTTACCTGGAGTAGAGTAGATCCCCAGAAAAATACATTCTGTCCGTAACGTAACCTTTAAATTAAGTATGTAATAATATTAGCATAAAGCTATTTTTATGAATACATTCATTTAGTCCGCCAGTTTCCTAATCAATTTAGTTTTATATCAAACATTTCATTAAAAATAATCTATTCAAGGATACTTTAACACAATGTATAAGACTAACACTATAATTACAAGGAAATAAAAAGAACGAATCATATCTCAAGCATGGGGAAAATATATTTTTCAACATTTCGTTCTTATATACCTAATATTTTAATATTTTTTACATATTTCATATTTCTTTTTCTTTTTTACTGACATATGAATTTCAAAAATATAGAAAAAGATCCGGAATCCTAAGGTTCAAAGATCCGGGACCATCTGTTTCTGGAGAAAATTGCAAACTGTTTGAAAAGAAAAATAATTTAGAGCCGGAAAAAATTATGGACAATTAAGTTTCACATATGAGTTTTAAACATTTCTTTGCTGCAAAGCTAATTTTCTATCGAACTTTTTTTAATATTAAGAAGTTGAGCCGCGATGGCTCAGGGGGTAGTGAGTTTGCCTTCCAATGAGGCGAACCGGGTTCGAATCCCTGTCGATACGAATTCCGCATTCGGCTTGCACCGATCACAGTGCTGACGTGAAATATTCTCAGTGGTAGACAGATCATGGGTTAGAGCCCCTTGCCACCAGGCTAACCTTGGGAGGTTCTCGTGGTCTTCCTCTCCATGTAGCGCAAATGCGGGTTAGTTCCATCAAAAAGTCCTCCACGAAAGCAAATTTCTCCCACTACTTGATCCAGGAGTTCCTTGTCTTCTGCATTGGGTTCAAAATTACAAGGCTATGGAGTTGAACATTGGTAGTCGTAAACCCAAAAATTAGTCCGGGTGTTCAAATACGTTTATAAAATAAAATATTTCAAAATTCTTCAATACTTTTTGCTTTTCATAAGAGCAATTGGATCATGACTTATTAAGATTTTCCAGTCATCAAGATGAGTTTCATTTCTTGGATGGGTGTTAATTTTCATTCTATTTTTATTGCATTCTAAAGCACCAGAGCTTGAACTAGGAGGGGCATTACCTTGTCGACAGCAATTCAAGTTGCCACTCAACGCGTATCGCGCTTGTTGTTTCGTTGATACGCTTTATTTGTAGAGCATTGATTTTCCCCTTTCCTCAAGATTACTTTACAACCGAAACTGAGTAATTTCAATTTTTGGGAGTAGTCTATGCATTATTTTTAGATGAGCGTAAACGGAATGTTCTAAAAAACATTGGTGATCAAGTTCACATTCCTTTAAAAAAGGAGAAAAAATTGCATTAGTGAGAGAGTGGAAAAAATACATTCCTATTTAAGTTATTTCTAAGGTATTACAACGTACACTCTTTAGTACGATACCCACTGCAGCGACCCTTCCATTATAACGCACGATACATGAAGTACTGTCAGCTAAAATTCCATAGACGGACTGCTACTTTAATGTCCATTAGAACATCCGCATCGAATCTTTCATTCTAATATAGCGAGAGAAATTTATGCTTTAAAATTAGAAAAAGTTTATAAGAAGAACATCATTTACTTTAATGTTACCGCAATGCCAATTTTTTTCAATTTTAAAAATAATAATTCCAAAGCTAAAGCTAAAAATTCTTTGGTGCATAATAATATGTATGAATAAAGCAAAATAACGTAAACAAGCACAAATAACTTTTTAAGCGTTATCTGTGTTTTTCTATTTTTATGGTCATTATTTGTTCTTAAGTAAATAATCTCAAAAAACTGAGGATGTAAGATATTACCATATTTTTATGGCATTACTTGTGCTTTTCTGTTTTTTGTGACATTATCTGTACTTATCTGTTTTTCTTTTGTTGATTTATCTGTACTTTCTGTTTTGGTGACATTATTTGTGCATTTCTGTTTCTTTGTGAATTTATCTCTACTTGTCTGTTTTTGTGGCAATATCTGAACATTTCTGTTTTTCTTTTGTGGATTCATATGTACTTGTCTGTTTTTGTAGTATTATCTGGGATTTATTCAAGTTGTTTAGCATTATTCATTATTTAATAATGTTTAACTAATTTTTGGTTATAGGATTTGCAGTGCAAAAATCTCAATGAAAGTTTCCATGTCCTACCTTATCGCCTACTATTAAAATCAAAACATTGTATATTTTCCATAAAATAATGACATAGGTAAAAAAGACTAAATATTTTTCTGCTTTTATGAATAATATTCCCATATTATTTATGAAAATAGAAAAAAAAATGTAGCGAGAGTTAATTNTTTTTTTAATCTTTTAAGTAAACAAACTTTATTATAATAATCATTTCATTATTAAGGATTAAAGGTTATTGTGAAATTATTAATTCTAATTAGTGGATGAGTAGGAAAAGAATTTCACTACTCGAAATACATTTAATGAAAGTTATGAAACTATAGAATATGTAATAATGTGTAATTTTTCTATCTTAGTTCTATTACGACCTTTTAAAAAACGCTAATAAACACAATTTAGTCAACAGATACAAACGATTATGTCGGCGCTATAACAAAAAAATACGCTTTATATTTTATTTGATGCAGAAGAATCAAATGAAGACCCGCTTAATTGAAATGTCGCACCCATATCTAACTTGTTGAATGTTATGCGATACCGAAAACAAAACATAATCATAAGCACACAGCTGTTTGGCGATTTGCAAGAACGCTCCTTTAACGCCAATAGAAATTTTCGCCAACCCTTTGCAATCTACGGTATGTTTTATCAATTCGCTTCCGGGTATATGCTC